AAAACACCATAATTGGAAATCAGAGGCTGATTAAAACTGGATATAGAGCACCAAATGCTATTTTATAACAATTCTCTATGATTTCTTCAGAAACTGTCTGTAGATGACTCACAACATGTACAGAAAGAGCAATGCTTAGGTTTTGGTGCTGAGTCTTTTGTGTATCCTCTTCCTCCTAGGGATCAGGGGAGGAGGCGTGCCCGGGCCTCCTCATGCCCCAGCCGCTCGGACCTCAACCGACTAGAAAACACAGCAGGTGAGGCATGTCACATTCTTCGAGGTCCCTAAAACCCCTTGCTTGACAGCATCTGCGTCCCAAGTAAAAACGTTGGCATTGAAGATGTGTGATGTTAGCTCTCATGTGAATACTCTAGAACTTTGTCCAACTTGGGCATAGATCAACATATATGTGTTGTGTGTGTGTGTGTGTGTATGTGTGGTTTTTTTTTTTTTTTTTCCAGAATCATCGTACAATTCTCACCATTACCTAGTTCTGGTTCCTCACATGTCTACAGGTCTTTATGATCTCTCAGAAATTTTATAAAAGCATTTGGAACTTTGCACAACTCGACATCAAAATGAATTTAAAATCATTGCTCACTTAATGAAACTTAATTTAAGATAGTCCTGTTGAACTTTAAGCTGTTTAATTGAGAAAATATATAGCAGTATAAATCATAGGCTAGAATTGACACAGAATGTATTCATGCAAAGGAATAATACCAAAACCCATGCCATCAAGTCGGTTCCTGCTCACAGAAACTCTAAAGGAAGAGTAGGACTTCCCCTTTTGGGTTGCCAAGGCTGTAAAACTTTATGGAAGCAGACTGCCACATGTTTCTCCCATGAACGACTGGTGGATTCAAACCACTGATCTTTCAGTTAGCCAAGTGCTTAATCACTGTGCCACCAGGGCTCCTGCAATGGAATATAGCAGTTAGAAAATGACCTAGAGTGCATTTATAATATTGAATGAAGTACAAATTATTGAGTGAAAAAAGTGAGCTGTGAATAGAATGACATATATTGTTTACAGATACAAATCTGTGTGCAAAACGTGTAAAATCAAATCCAATAACAATATGTACCCAATTTAGAATTATTTGTTACCCCTGAAGAGAGAAGGAAAAAGGAAATGGATCATAGAGGAGGTATACAGAGGGCTTCAACTCTATCTAAAATGTTTTACTTCTTTAAAACAAGGATACACCCCCCCCCC